AGCATTTTTGTGACAGCACATGACCACCCTCTCCGGCGCCAGACAACTTGAGGCTTTTTTTTTTAAACTAAGAATCTTTTCTAATAAGAAAAAACTAAGAATCTTTTCTAATAACGGGATCTCTACAGAATAAATATGTCTATTTAGAGAAATAATTTTTCTAATAAGGAGAAAACTTAAGACTATGTTAAAATATGGAAAACGTCTTAAAGCTGAGAACCAGGGGCAAAAACCCACTGGGTTCGTTTCTATAAGGAGATACTTTTTTGGGGGGGGGAGCTGGTATTGGGGTCTGGACCCTTGACCTTGGTGTTATCAGTACCACACTCTCCCATGTGAGCCACAGGATAGACTTTCATCTTTTACTTTGCCAACATTGCTCACTGGAATTAGCTGGTGTTCACAGAAGGGAGCTGATGTTTAATATGAGCTCTGTGAATACCAGAAAGAAACACCCAGTCTTTTTTTTTTTTTCCCTTTTTGTCTTTTTTCGTGACCGGTAATGGGATCGCAACCCTTGGTGTCGCGCCTGCACCGCGTTCAACCAGTGAGCGGACCGGTCTCTATATGGGATCCGAACCCTCGGTGGGAGCGCCGCCCTCTACCGAGTGTGCCACCGGGCCGGCCCAAGAAACACCCAGTCTTAAATGATACTCATACATAAAATTTTAGCTCAAGTTCCTGCAGTTTCACATAATTAATAATTTACAAAAGACTCTCCAGTTCAACGAAGGACCGAGGGACATCAACCACATCACAAATGCAGAGCTCAGGCGCCCCCCTTCTCCCTTCCTCCGTGTGTGTACGCAGCCTGTCCCCTCCTGTACCAGCGTCTCTCCCAGCACATCGATGGCAGAGCTGGCTTCTCTCAAGGCCTTCTCTGTCAAGGGCTCCGGCTCCCCTGACACGCCTCCTCTCCCAGCGGTGCTGGCGTCCACCTCACCCGCTCCGGGCTCCAGCGATGCTTCCCCCGGCTGCTTGCGAAAGGCTGGGAGAGGCCGCTCGTCATAGGGCAGGGACTCTGCCTGCAGGACAGTGAAGGACAATCTGAGAGACGTTATTTGCTAAATATCAGTATCATCCGATTACGACAATTTATACAACAAATAGGATATAACTGAAAAAATGACATGAGGCTTTCTATTCCCTTTTAAACTCATCATAGACCTTATAAAAAGAAAGGAACACAGACTCTGCCTCAACGACTGCTTCCCAGTAAGCGATTTCAGTTCAACTGACATGGCGATTACTAAAGTAAAAGTTATTACACTTTTTTTTTTCTGACAGGATCTCTGATATTCTCTTATTTTACTTTTTAGAACTAAGTATCAACCCTGATTTTAATAAACATGTTCATTATCAGGCGGCCTTATACTTAATACAGGTAGCCAAAGTTAAAGAGTCCTTCCACAAGCCTTCTCTGCAGTGCCCACCGAAACTCGGGACGGTTTGTTGTCTATTCCACCCACCACTCCAACAACTACGAGGGCACTTCAGAAAGTTTGTGGAAAAACAGAATTAAAAGATAACACAAATCTTTCTATGAACTTCTCAAGCACCCTTGTATTTACTGAGTCCCTAATTTGCGCCAGGCCCTGTTCTGGTGCCCCATATACAGCAACGAACAAGATGGACTTCCAGCCCTGAAGGGGTTTCCAGCCTCATGGGAGAGACAAAGTTACACAATTCACCACAATTTATATGTGTGTGACCACAATTTATATGTGTGTGTATGTGTGTATATATGTATATACACATATATATATATTTTTGGTGGCTGGCTGGTACGGGGTTTCCAGCCTCATGGGAGAGACAAAGTTACACAATTCACCACAATTTATATGTGTGTGTATGTGTGTATATATGTATATACACATATATATATATTTTTGGTGGCTGGCTGGTACGGGGATCTGTACCCTTGACCTTGATGTTACGAGGCTGTGCTCTAACCACCTGAGCAAAGGTACACAATTAAACACATAATTACGTAGCAGGATTTTGGTAACTGAGACCACAGAGGCATGATTCCTGACTGGTTTTCTGAGGTGGGTGTTCCTGTGACATTGAAGCAGAGGGGGTGACCGTTCATCCTCAGTACCTACTAAGAGACTGATGGAGTGTGTACCATGTGCGAGCACAGGGTTCCTATATTTTAGAATGGACTCGTAGCGGTAGAACGCTCTGAGATGATGAGTCAGGGAAAGACCACAAGCCATCTTCCAATGCCAGCTGCTGCTTCACAGGCTGGCCTGCGACTGACGCTCTCAGGGTGGGCTGGAGGCTCCTGCTTAGAGCGGCACAGGCTTGCTCCCTGAAATGGAGTGTGGCACAGAAGTGGGGCTCAGAGCCACTGTGATAGGAGCCAGCCCTATGGTGACGGGGAGCCAGAGAAAGAGAGTGGAAGGATGGGAAGAGCCCAGGTTTCTGAAAACGCTGTCACGCTAATGAATCAAACCAACCCTGAAACCCATATGATCTCTTGAGAGTTCCTGGATAAAAAAGCCAACAAGACTCCCAGGTTGTTCCTTTCAACACAGAAGTCCTGCAGGAATGGTGACTAGACACAAACGCTCCTGAGGCTCTACTGTGGCCAGTTCGTGCACTAGGCATTTTACAAATATTGTCCCTCGTATTCCTCGAAACAATGCTTTCAGCAGATGTTTGTACATGTTTATAGAGAGGAAAGCAGAGGCTCAGAGGGATGAAGGGTGTGTAAGACCACAGGCTGACAAGAGCAGGCATAGGGTGGGGGGCCTGGCATGCCTGACTGCAGGTGGGGCCCCCCCATGAGGCTGGCTGACGGGCCCATTGCTTACAGTGTCATGTTCTTGCCTCAGTGTTTACGTCTCCCTCCTGGGCTGTGGCGTGGAGGGGTTGGCTGTGGGGTGCACTTACGTTTCCCATGCACTGGAACAGTACCTGGCACAATGCAGGGCCTCAGCAAGTATCTGCTGAATACACTGAATACCGACCTGACCCTGAGTTACTACACTGACCTCTGGATGAGGATTTGTGGCAGGCAGCAAGTGGTCTACCGCAGAACGCTGAGGAGAAGTAGTCAGAGAATGGGACGAAGGCTTTTCCTGGAGGAAGGGTTCTGCAAACCAGTTTTCAGCTACTCTTTCTTCTGGCTGTGGTAGGGAGGGCACCAGCTTCTGGTGGCAAGGACTGCCAGAATGAACAAGGGGCTGGAGGGGCAAACCAAAAGGTCTTCGGATCTACAGAAGAAAAGGGATATTTGATTTCAAACGCCACATCTTGTTCCCCCAGATGAAAGGCTCTGCTGGAAAAGGATCCTTGGCACACTGCAAAGTTTCCGATTAAAACTTTACCAGAGAGTGATGGTCTACTCTGCAGTCCTACAGAGTCACGTGGCACTTCTCCCAGTTGTCTCTCCGTGGTCACTGTGTGGGCTACAAAAGTGACACGCACACCTAAAATACTAGTGTGAGAATGAGCACCTGTACATGGCTCACCACAGAGCACGGAGCACATCCACATGTATGTGCCTGTGCAGAAGCAGGATGGTGGGTAGACAGCACCCAGGCTGGACCCAAACAGACTTGTATTCAAAATCTGGCACTGCTATTTCCCACTGTGTCTGCAAAAGCAAGTGATTCTGTGTAATCCTAACAAGCAAAACTGACTTTGCAGTCATTATGCACTGGGCATGGTACCAAGTGCCAAGTCAGATGGTCTCATTAATGCTTACCATTTTTACCTCCATTGAAAACCTGACAGAATTAATCTGAGGTCACATGGCTAGAATGGTGGAGCCCGAATCTGAACCCAGGCAGTCCAGCTCCAGAGTCTGTGGTCTTGACTACTATTCTGTATGCTGCAGGGCCTCAGTTTCCTGCTCTGTCACATGGGATGAGCACCACCTGCATATATATGAGCTCTAGAGAACAGGCAGAGCACATCATGCAAAATGCTTTCTTAATGTGCAGAAGCCATTAGTAGTGTTCTCTCACTGTATCCTCACAACTCAGGGAGGTAGTGGGGCAGGGTATCAGCATTCCATTTTACAGACAAGGAAACTGAGAGCTGGCAGGGCAAAGGGACTCACTGGCAAAAGCAGCAGAGCCTTGATCTCCTGGCCCCTGCCTCATTCCCTTCCTCCATGGCGAATCCTCCTGAAAGAACACTCCATGGCAAAAATCTATGTGATGCAGACACTCAAGAGCTGACTTTATCTACTGTCACCTGAGCATTACAAAATCTTTTATATCACATTTACGAAATATATACCCGATGCTACGAACAACACAATGGAATCTCTCCTCTCCTGGGCTACCGTCCACCGCTGTACAACCTGTCCTGGGCCCCTCACGTGCCTGCCCGGCACCCACCAGCTCGGCGTCCAAGAGGCTGTGGAGCTCCAGCTGCTCGTACACCTCGGCGCGGTACTGCTCCATCTGCTGCTTCTTCTCCTTGGCAAGATCGTAGTCTTCTTTCTCCACAGCACAGCGTTTTTCCACCTCATACCTTCCAAGACGCTCACCAACCTGAAGCACAGAATGTGTCCTTTTTGTTTCAAATTTGGATCAACTCATGTCAAGTGCCCAGATACTTTTTAGAGCACTGCTTGAACATCTCCACAGCACAGCGTTTTTCCACCTCATACCTTCCAAGACGCTCACCAACCTGAAGCACAAAATGTGTCCTTTTTGTTTCAAATTTGGATCAACTCATGTCAAGTGCCCAGATACTTTTTAGAGCACTGCTTGAACGACAGTTCAATGACTACGTACATGTTCTACAGGGAGAAGGGAAGGAGCACAGGAAAACTGAAGGCATCCGTTGAAAGGCTGCACTGCTTATTGCTGGACCAGCATCTAATAAACGCACGAGTTCACAGTACCATTCGGGCTAGCTCGTTTTCCTACCACTTTCCCACACCAATAAGGGTTCAAGCACCGAGGTGGCTGCAGACGGCATCTGAGGGTGAGGCACGTGTTTTCACTTAGGTTTTTAAGGTGCTCATCTGTCCATAATTTTCTGTTGCTGAGTTCTTTGAACCTACACTAACTTCACAGCTTTTAGTAATGTTTTAACATGTGGCTATGATAATTGTACATAAAACTTATAACATTCACAAAATAAGAACTGTATTCTCCAAAAACAATACCTTTTGCAAATCAGCAATAGCTTGTTTTAGTTTCTTGGCGTAATCATAACGTTCCTTTTGGACAGCTTCACGTTTTCTTTCATCTAATTTGCGTATAATCTGTGCAACTTCTGGATCTTGGTACATATCAAAAGCCAAGTCATCTAGTGGAGAAATATAGTCAGATCTCCTAAAGGAAAGAAATGAATATTTTAGAGCTAATTTCAATCTAGGGAATAATGTCACAGCAGGGGAGCCGCGTGAGGTGAGTGCTGAAGATACACAGTTGAAAAAAGTGGCCCCTGGGCTGGCCCGTGGCTCACTCGGGAGAGTGCAAGGCTGATGGCACCAGGGCCCCGGGTTTGGATCCCATATAGGGATGGCTGGTTGGCTCACTGGGTGAGCGTGGTGCTGACAACACCAAGTCAAGGGTTAGGATCCCCTTACCAGTCATCTTTTAAAAAAAAAAGAAAAAGAAAAAAGTGGCCCCAGACCCACTGTTCACAGAGCATCCACTGCATGAGAAAATGGAAGGTCACAGAAATCAGTCAACGGGCTTCAGATCACACAGCTCTTAAATTGCAAGCGGGTCTTTCTGACTCCCAAGTTCATGTTCTTGACCATTAATTGAACAGCACTGTAGCCATGAGAAAATGGAAGGTCACAGAAATCAGTCAACGGGCTTCAGATCACACAGCTCTTAAATGCAAGCGGGTCTTTCTGACTCCCAAGTTCATGTTCTTGACCATTAATTGAACAGCACTGTAGGGCACCTGAGGTGCATTCACTCATTCATGCACCAAATATTCAGTGTGCAGACTCTGGGCCAAGCACAAGCCTCTGACTTTACTTTCATAAGACGTTGGGGGATACGGCAGGACAGGAAAAGTACAGTCTGCCATCCCACCTGCCTGATTTGATTAAGATAATTGATTTAAAGTATAAATCAGAATAATAGAAAGAACTTTTACTGGAGATATTAAGAAGCAAAAAAACACATCAGTTTGGTTGCTTCTGCTCCACTGGCACAAGTGTCAGTAAGCGCAGGAACCAAGTCGTGGTGATGATGCTGACAAGAAGTGGACGGTTCTCCACTCTTCAGTACTTTTCCCCCAAAGTGTTTGAGATGGCTGTCTTGAAAGATAACAAGGGTACTGTTATTTTTCCATTAGTCAAAGGAGGACTCTGAGACAGAGACTGGGAAGCTGGTGCAGGTTAGGTAAACGACCTTCCATCATTACTTTTTACTAATACCGTAAGAACAGCCCCACGTTCTGATCAGCCCATACTCGCAGCTGCCCCGAGATGGGCCCGCCCTGGTCTGCACCTCCTCCACCTCACAGCCTCTCTCAGGCTGAGTCCTCATGAAGACCAGGCCGGCAGGGGACAGGAGGAGATCTCTGTGGGAAGAAAGGCTCACTGTCCACCAGTGTGCATACTCGGCAAATAGCAAATGGCTCCGTGCAACCCTAGAGAGAATCAACTCCATATTTTGTGCAAACAGAAGAGCCTGGCTCAAGTGTTAATTACTTCATGTCAGCAGTTTGATTGTATGCAGGTAAAAGTGAAGTTACATCAAAAATTGCAGACAAATTTGAAACTTCTATTAAAACTGAAATGTTTTATCTTTTCTTTATTGGGAAGGTGCTGTCAGAGAAGAGGAAAGGAGGATTTCCTCTTTTCTTTAGATCGGGCACCTTTGGAATGCGGTCCCCGTGCTGTCATCAATGGTGCATATGTGGTGAGGATTCTGAAAGAGGCATCTGTCCCAAAGAGGCATCTGGGGACAGACAGGGTGGCCAAGGATGGTGCATAGGGCTCTTCAGCTCCCCCCACTCTTGACCCACCAAGGGTCCCACCGCTAAAAAAAATAAGGAGGCAGCAAAAGAAATAGGTACATACAATTTTTAAGGTGAAGAACACCTTAATAGGTATAAGGTTGGTAAAAATTATGTTTTTAAAAACCGATATGATAAGTATTTCTCACTCCTCTGAAGAACAAAGTTTTACAGTAGTCGTAGGATGCAGTCTCTAGTAACTGACAATTTGGGTCAGTTAGCACCTTTGATTTTTACCTATGAATTTGCCTGTGCCAACAAGATATCAAAGGACGGCTGACAGATCTTTTTCCTCAGTGCATTTTAGGAACCACCTAGTAATACCTAGACACACGAGAAATGAAGTGGTCTCACAAGCACAATAATGAAGAGGCGCTAGACAAGACGCTGACCTCAATCTTCACGCATCTTTAAGACAATCCAATCAGTGGCTTATCCAGCTCTAACCTGAATTTAGAGACCCTCAGTTCCAGAATCCTCTGGAAATGACCGACACTTCTGTGATTCTGAGGAAAGTTCCAGAAGCTTATTGCCTTGAGGAGCAGGACTCACCCCGCATAGGTGCCTTCCAGAGCTGGATCCTCAGTGTTGTGCCCAAGATAATGGTCAATCAACTTCTCTCTAGAGGTCTAGGAAACAAAGCATCTGCTTAGTTTCTCAGAGCAGAAAAGAACCACACAAAATCTTAATTACAAGGTTATTTGATATGAAGTTGTCGGCAAGATTCAACCGTCTTAGTCTTTTGGAGGGACAGCTAAAATTCTTGAGTGAAAGAAAAGTTTAATATATTATAGCTGCTAAAAATTATCTGACAGCTATTCACTAGTCAATTTTATAAAAATTTTTAAAATGATACTTTTTGGGATGAAAATAAATGATGATCTCCTCCTGTTAGAAATACATTTTCCTCCTTAGGAATTAAACTTCCCAAACTTACAATATTGCTTTCATCACTGAAATCTGCAGGGTCTCCAATGATATTTACTGCAACCAAAGCAACCTAAGAGAGAGTTAAATCAAAAGAAATTAAGTATAAAATGTTTGAGATGACTTAGCCCCTTTATAACAACTCTGACCTGTACTGTTATCAAATGGGATGGTGCACATCCAAGTGCATTACTGTAAAACGTTATGCTAATGTATAGATTGTCATTAATTTCTATAAATTATGCAAGTTAATATTCTAATGCTGAACCAAGCTATTTTAATTGTTTCAAGGATGTTAAAATAATAGCCCAAAAGCCAAAAGCCCCAAAGTTATAACATAGCCTCATAATGAACCATCCACTCAGGGTTAAGCATGGAGGTCATATCTACATGACCTTGGTAAATTAGATAATGAAATGAAAACCTAAAGAAACATAGCTCAGTTTATCCAAGTCAGTGATTGTCACCTGAAGGGAAGGAGTCACTTTCCCATACCCACCCCCCCCCAACTGAGAATCACTGGAGCCTAACTACTTAACCAGGTCATTACTGGTAAATACATGCAGATGGGTGAAAGAAGAAAAAAGGTTAAGAATCATTCTTCCAATTTACTGTTAAGTAATGCCGCAATGGGCCGAGTGACATAACTGTATGTTAGAGCTCTTTTTCAACTCATTTGCTCGGTATAAAAATATGACTTGTTGGAATGCTTGCATTCCTCTTGGAGGGGGCAGGGAGTGTCGTAAATATTTGTGCTAATTAACAAGATTGCCTTGGATATAATTGATTTCTACTACTGTACACTAATCCTGCAAAAAACAAAAGAAAGAAAGGGAGGGAGGAAGAAATTAAGAACCAATAGCTTAGAGCTGCAGAGATTCTAGATGCAACGCTAAACACGTTCTTGGTTTCTACCAGGGGATCTATCTTGTCAAGGTTTAGATGGTGTATCTAGAACCATGTTGTCCAATACAGACAGAATGTGAGCCACATGTTATTTGAAGTTTTCTAGTAGGCACATTAAAAAAATTAAAAAGAAACAGGTGAAATTAATTTTAGTAATATAGTTTAACAAAATATATCCAAAGTACTATCATTTCATCACATGTAATTAATATAAAAATGTCCACCAACTCTTTAACATTATCTTTTGGCACTGAGTCTTTGCAGTCTGCATCTTGGGAACACTCACAGCAACTCTGCATAGCCACACCCCCAGTGTGTGACAGCCACGTGAGCCTGGTGCTACTGTATCAGATGGCAAGGTCTTGAAAATGCTTTTGAGAAAAGATATGTATATAACTACATGACCCTACAAGGAGGAGGGGAGCAGAGTCACAGGTGAAGATGTATTAATCTTACCTGATTATATATGTTGTATTTGTTGACATGGTTTTGGTGGAAAATCAGCTTAAGAAATTGCCCTACTGCATCCACATAGACTGATTTTAGTTCTCGGGCTTTGCAGCCTGTCTTTTCGTTATTGCAGAGGGAGACATAGCTGAAAGAGGAAACAAACTGAAGAACGTGCTCCCATTAAACTCTGTAGGTTCAAATAAAAGCTAAGCCTAGAATGAGAAACCTAAGAAAAAACCTCGAAGTCAAATCCTAATTAGCATTTTCAAGAAAAGCTCTGCATCTGGAGGTGGAGTTGAACAGAAGAGTTGATAGAAGTGACCGCTCTGCTTATCGGCATATTTAGTTCGAGGCAGGTGTGTTCACAAATTATGCAATGTTGAACCAAACAGACGTATGTAATACAGGACCAAAAGTAAGGGGCAAATCACTAATTTTTAAGAGTTCTGAGGCAGAATTAGTCAGGTTAAAAGTTACCATGATAAATTTTAAATTCATTCTTACCCAAGCCTTCGAAACCGCTCTGCTTGATATGGCACAAAATACTCAGGCAAGCTTTCACTGACGTAGAACTCGATTTTACTTGAGATCATGTACTGGTGAGCGAGTAGCTGTAGTTTTCTTATTCGACATCTCTCCACCATCTGAAGAACAATTTCTTGTGGAAACTGGCAAAATCTGAAAGCAAACACTTTTCTGTATTTTCTGAACAGTTACCGCGGAGGGTACCTACCCGCTAGTATCCCATTCTTCTGGGTAATAAGCAAGAACCAGGACCCTGCTGTGAGCTGGACGGTCTGCAGATACTGAAGACACAAGGATGACCAGGACGCCTTTCCTGGCTTCTCGTGCTTTCCACGGTTGGAGCTGGATTTGGTCTGATCTACCTGCCACCCCACCTGAATCATACTTTCGCAGCTGGTAAATGGACTGAAATGGAACCCGAGGTTTATCATGAGATAAACAAATCAACCTTAAGGGCTGTACTAGTGGGCAAGACGGAGCCAGAGGATTTTCCACAGGAACCTAAACACTTAAGGAAAACCACTTGCTTATAGGATCCTGAGTTATCAGTGTTTAAGGAATGCCTACCACTGGTGCTCAGTGGTCTAAAGGGAGAAGCCTATGCTGTGGCCCATGCTGGAGCTTCTAATTTTGCTTAAAAGTGACATAACACAATTACAAAACTCAGTGAGAATCTGGTAGAGAACCACGGTAGTCAGGAAAGACCTCACATTGCAATATATGACCACGATGGAGGCAATAGCCCAAATGCTTAGAGGACAGTAAAGACCGCTCATGTTTAGATAGCAAGCATTGGGTAATGGGCCAGCGGAGGCATCACCCACACATGGAGCAGGGGACCCTGCAGGTGCATGCATTCCCACCTGCCTGGCCACACTCGTCCCTCTCTTCCTCCCACCTCCCACCTCTCCTCCCCCAAAACCTCAGCTGCTGACAACCCTGCCCTGCACTTCACAGAGAAAACAGATGCGGTCAGATGGGGGCTCCTCTACGGTTCTTCCACCAAACGGAGCAGCTCCCCGCTGGTGTGCCCACCCTCCTCCACTTGCCCAGCTGGACAGGCCAAGCCTGCCGAGCACTGCTTGAGACCCACGCCCCGCCTGCTTGAGGACTTGGCTCCTGTGGTTATCCCCAGTTCTCTTGGCCAGACTGGCCCCACCATACACGCACAAACTCTGGAAAGCCCACCCTAAGAGCACCATCCCATGACTCTGCACCCCTTCCCAGGTGTCCCACAACTTTCTCATGCTCCTTCTCCCCATCCCACTACAGGAGGGCTCTGTCCTGCACTGCCCATGGGTGCCCCTCATGAAGACCACCAGGGACCCCCCCGCCACCAACTGCAATGTGCAGTTGGGCCTCGCTTGGGCTGCGTAACTGCTCACATTCCTCATGAAACTAGTCAGCCACATGACCATGACACCACCACTTCCTGGTCCTCCTCCCCTATGTCCCTCCTTGCATGCGCCCCAGGGCCGGGCTCCAGGCTTCCTTCTCTTCTCTACAAGCAGGGGATCCTATCAGCACAACTTGAAAAATGTCCTGCTTTAAAAACCCCAACTGGACATCGCCCTGAGTCTGACTCCTCTGTATCTAGTGGGAGACATGACATTTCCTTACACATAGACATCTAAAAGGCATGGGACGTGACGTACACAAAACAGAACTCAGGCCCCCAGTTACTCCTCCTGCTCCTGCCAGCCTCCTCCACCTCAGCAGTGGTACCCCCACACACCCTGTGGCCCAGACCGGCCACAAATCCAGGCCTCCTCCTTAAACTTCTAACAGGACAACAGGGTTAACGCTGTCTGTGGCCCTCCCTCTAGATTCGCTGCTGTATAATCAAGGCCTGAAATCACACGTGGCCCATGGTGAGCACATCACAGTCAGCAGAGAGAATGAGGGAGAAGTGAAGAAAGGAGCACTAGGCAGGGCGGGCCTGCGTCTGTGCAGGTCCTTACGCTTCACTCGGTGCAGAACAGAGTGGATGGACGTGCCCTCTGCTACCCTGAGGGCACGCCCTGCTTGCTCTTTCCTAACACCAAGCTTCCAAAATCGCAGAGGTCATAGGAGAGACACATTTGGGACAGGAGAGCAGCTAGGAAACACTGTGGATGCCAAGCAGCTCCTGAAATAAATACCCTTTGCTCTTTCACACTGGCAAAGTGCTGCTTCAGAGACTGAAGATATTTACTGGTTTTTTTTTTTTTGTCCTTTTTGAGACCAGCTGCACCACGCTCAGCCAGTGAGTGCACAGTGCACGGCCATCCCTATATAGGATCTGAACCCGCGGTGCTCTTTCACACTGGCAAAGTGCTGCTTCAGAGACTGAAGATATTTACTGGTTTTTTTTTTTGTCCTTTTTGAGACCAGCTGCACCGCGCTCAGCCAGTGAGTGCACAGTGCACAGCCATCCCTATATAGGATCTGAACCCGCGGTGGGAGCGCTGCTGCGCTCCCAAGCGCTGCACTCTCCTGAGTACGCCACGGGCTCGGCCCGATATTTACTGTTTCTAAATGCAGGGCACATGTATTACACAGTCACAGTCACTTAATGACAGGGATATGTTCTGCAAAATGAGTCCTTAGGTGATTTTGTCACTGTGTGTAAGTTTACTATGAAAGGAAACACCAATGAATTTTGTGATTATCTACTCTGGCCACCAGCTGCGTGAGCGTGGGCCTCTAATTATGCTACAAGTCTCCCTGTGCCTCACTTCCCTCATCTGCTAAATGGAGAGTAGAATAATGCCACCCCTGTAAAGTCAGGGACATTAAATTATAGCTAGGGATTGTGCCTGGCACTCAGCAAGGACTCAACAAGTGTTAGCTAACTGTTACTAACTATGATTTTGCTATGGGGATGAGTGGGAATCATTTAAAAATGCAAGACTCTTAAAGTAGACAACAACCCTTTCACTTGGGGTCAGACCCGAAGTGCTCTACCTTAAAGGTCTGAGTTACCATTGGGAAGGTCACCCCCGGGTAAGCCAGACACTCCTCCTCAACATATTTTTCACTAGGTTTGTTTACACCAGCATCACCACAAACACTTGAGCAATGTGTTGTGCTAGGATGTTAGGACAGCTACGGTATCACTAGGTAACAGGAACTTTCCAGCTCCATTATAATCTTATGGGACCATCATCATATATATATGATGATCTAAATGTTGACCTAAATGTTATTATGCAGCATATAACTGTAATTTGTGGTGAGATTACTCCAAACATAAGGACAATTAGTAATCTATTATTTGAAAAACTCTTTATTAATTAAAAAAACCCTCCCAAACAGTTTAAGACAACCAATACAACTCTGAAATTATATACTTTAAAAAAATCCTTCAAAAAAGGGCCTATGATTTAGCTACTCAAATGTAGCTGATAAAGTTTGAAGATGAATTAAAAATACCCTTCAAGCTGAATATAAAAAGAAACAACAAGGGGCCGGCCCGGTGGCACACTGGATAGTGTGCCGCTTGGGAAGCGCGGCGGCGCTCCTGCCCGAGGGTTCGGATCCCACATACAGACCGGTTCCCGCTCACTGGCTGAGCGAGGAGCGGGAGCAACACCGAGGGTTGCGATCCCGTTGCCGGTCCCCGGTCCGGTACGGGGGCAACACTGAGGGTTGCGATCCGTTGCCGGACACGGAAAAAGACAAAAGACAAAAAAAAAAAAAAAAAAAGAAACAACACATTTAAAAAGGCCAGCATTATCTATCCTTTCAATACAAATAGACAGCTATAGATCGCTTTTTGAATAAAAATAATTTGGCAACAAAAATTGATGCCCAGAGGCTACAGTTGTTGGTGTAAACTTTATGCTGTCTTGGAAAAGTATCTTGCTCTGAAGATTTTAGGATCTTCCAATTCCTAGGTTGTAAGGATGGTACTGGGGGAACTTCCCTTGATCCCTGTAACTACCCCAGTGAGTCCCACCCCCAGAGCTGAAGCTACCAGCGCCCTGCGTGTGCTCTCTATAGCCTGTGGGAACAGGGCACCTTGTCCAGTCTTTAGGGACCATGGTTTGAGGACATTTTCCTTTGCCTCCCTGCACTGTGCCTGTTCTCAGGGGAGTTGTGAGACCCCTGAGCCAAACCCGGGGTGAGTCTGTGTGGTGACGAAGGGTACATATATCCTTTTCTTTGCTATGTCCTTGGAAAGTATTTTACTAACATAATATAGGTTATGCCTTTAAAGAAATACCTTGTCAATACCTGGAAGAACCATATTAGTGTTATTTTTATAAATATTACCCAAAAGGTAATACACCCCGTCTGTGTATTTAGTCGACACATAACACTGAACAGATGCAGTTGGCATAAAGAGCCTCTGCTGAGTGGACATGCCACAGGTGGCAATGGAAGTTTCATGGCTCCCTCTGCCTGGGAGAGGCGTGGCTGGACAGATGGGGCAAGAGTGGGAGGAGAGATGGGCCTGCCCTTCCCCTCCCCTGCGACTAAGGTCACTTGACTGCAACAGCAGCTCCACCGGCAACAAAGGGGCACCTTCACCCCGTCTAGTTTACGGTCTTGTTTCATCTCTAAATTCATTCACAACTCATGCAGAGCCAGCGAGTCTCATTTGTTGGGTCCCCTCAAAAACTCCAAAGGGAAAATACATTTTAATCTTAAATGTGATTTACATTCAATTTTCAGCAATGCATCTTCTGAATAAAAACAAGATACAATTATATGATTAAATTTAAAACGTCGCACATCATACATATTTACATGTTCATGAGTTAGGAATAAATAGTAACTTCTGTTCAGACAAACAAGTCACGAAGAACAAGGGCCGAGCCTGGGGACGGGTGGGCAGGTCTGCTTCACACGGTGGATGGCAAACGCGGGTAAGGCCCATGAAGCCTGCCCGAGCTACTCAGCAACAGACTATGACTCTGTCTTTCGTGAAGAATGAAGACCTCTCAGCAGAAAGCAACAGAGATTAAAAATACTTAAGTGTTTCAGAAAAATAACAAAACTAACACGCAAATAATGAACATTTTTATGATGTTGTACAAATACTTAACAGAAACTTGCAAGAGACTTTTTGTTAAGGCTTGAGGTGTCACACAAAGCAGTTAGCCACAAAATCTTTTACCATAGGAGCCCAACCATGAAACCAAAAAAATCTGCAAACACAACACTTGCACGGAAAACAGATGAGAATGTGGTACCAGCATGTGATCAGGGAATATATTTAGACAGTTACGGGGGATCATTTCTCTCCCTTCTTCTCTTCTGTATTTGTGTTTTTTCTAAAGTGTGTGTAGCTTAATGATGTAAAGGAGAAAGGGTCAACAAATTTTCTTTAAAAACACAGAAAAAAATCCATCACAGAATGAGATGTTACAACACCGCACCACAATCTGACAGTCTTGTGGCTCTGACATCCGACTTAACAAAATTACAAATGCAGAATGGAAGGAACCCACATGCTCTTCAGGAACCTGACACTGTCACACAGCCCATGGCCCACTGTGCCCAGACCTTACCTTGGTGACCTCCACCCACTGACGGTCGGCGCGTGGATCATTAGTTCCCGAGCACTGAAGCCATCTTCGTGTCCAGATGAACTGACAACTACAAATCCAATCTTGTGCGGCATTCTGCACGCCTGGGCTGTTTATAAGGGCAGGAAAGAATTTTTTAAAGTAAAGGAACTTACTAGCGTATAACATTAAAGTGTTAGTTAATGCCTTGCTAACGTACAAGGTAATTCACAAAGTATTCAGAATTTTTCCATCGCTTTGAAAGAGTCTAGCTTTTTTGTGAAACACTTTTTATAGGTGCTTCTAACTCTACTTAAGATATCATTTACGTTATCTTGACTTTTCCCCAAGTATTTGTCCAAAAAGTTTGACCAGTGTTGTGTATTGAACTGTGTCTCCACAAAAGATATGTTGAAGTCCTACCTATGGTACCTGTGATTGTGACCTTATATGAAAATAGGGTCTTTGTAGCTGTAATTCAGTTAAAATGAGGCCCTTAGGGTGGGCCCAATCCAATGTGACTGTCATCCTTATAAGACATAGACACACACACTGGGAGAAAGCCATGTGACAAGAGAGGCACAGATTGGAGCGATGCATCTAGAAACCAAGAAATGCCATACATTGCTGAAAACCACCAGAAACTATAGGGAAGGCAAGGAAGGATCCTCCCCTAGAGCCTTCAGAAAGAGCATGGCCCTGTCCACATCTCGATTTCAGAGTTCTAGTCTCCAGAATAAATTTCTGTAGTTTTGAGCCATCTAGTTTGTGATCATTTGTTATGGCAAAAGCAAAGCTTTTTTGCTAGGACACAAATACAAAGTTTTTTGTATTAGTTAGGAAGCTAATACAACCAGTGTGTTAGTTACACAATTACAAGGAGAAAAAAGGCAATTTAATCACTAACATAATAATAATTGCTAAATGAAATTGTATGACCAGAAGGAAGAGCAAGGAAGTCCAGACAGACATACAAAGTATAGAGATGCGCACGGAGTCTGGAAAAGTAACTGACTCATAGCATATATTTAAACACTGACTTTTTTTAAATGTCATGACTTCCTAGTGAACCTGATTTGTTCATAGTTCAGAACCATCATTTTGAGGGTCAATGTGGTGAGGTTTCTGCCTGCGGAGTGTCTCCTCTTCTGTGTGGACACAGCACCTCAATCTCAACTTTCCTGGACAGACTCTGCCCTTCCCACTCCTACTTCTGGTGGGGCTGGCCACTCGCCCACCCGGTACTCCTCAGCTCTCCCCCCGTGTGGGCACATTTCCCAGGCTGGGTCAGCCCATGAATTCCACATCCCTCCACAGCGATGGTTCAGGGATAGGAACGTGGCAGGTGACTCTGCTGGGACTACTGGGAAAGAGAAGCTTTCTTCCCACTGGGACTGCCAGTGGCCATCAGGTGGGGAGGCCACACGCAGGGGGAGCTAATCCGCGGATTAGCAGATGCAGAGCCCCCGTTAGAGCCCTGAGACTCAGCCCTATTTAAAGCCCAAACTACCCGTGAACTCTTGGTCACTTTTCAGTCACTAAGCCAGACAAAGTCCTCCTCAGTAAGCCAATCTGACTTAGGTCTAAGTCGTCTGTACAAAAAAGACTCCTCACCAAAACGGAGGATAAAGAAGATTCCATCAGAAAGTTCTAGGGGATAAGATACACTATTAATTGAAATTCTCAATAGGAGGTAACATAAACATATCACATATGAAACTTTGCTTATTTTAACATGCTTGATGCATGACCTAGAACTGTCTTTTACTTTCATTGAGAAATTGAAGAGGACCACTTCAATAAGTTAATTAAGCCAATTATGGCACTTGCTAATGTTTCTTGGAATGTAAGAACAAAAGCATTAAAAGTAGAATGCTGAAGCGTTATTAAAGATCCTAGTTATTTTTTGCACAAAGGTCACTGCAGGATGTTGTAGTATATTAGAGGAAAACTAACCCAGAAAATAAGAAAAAGCAGGCACAAAAAAGTGGACAAGTGTGATTTAATCCGCAGACTGCCGCACAGGCCCACCTGCCTTCCAGGCACCCGACGCCAGAAATGCATGGCCTGCAGCTACTCCCACATTCGTTGTGACCACCACTCCAGGTTGCTTGGGGCTCCGAGCCCGGAGTTATTTTCTCCTTGGTCAAGGCACCTTCCCTTACCCACTCCCTACCCAATGGAGAGCCAAATCTTATCGGTCCTAACTTTGGAATGGTGACTGAATACATCTCTTCCTCCCTAACCCACCATCTTTTCTAGACAGCTACAACTGCCTGGTCTCCCCACCTGGAGCACTCCCCCTCTGACTCGTCCTATGTTCCCTCCAGATGAACATTCCTCACGCCTGGTTCCAGTCATCTCATCCATGTCCTAACTCAAGAACCCTTGAAGGGTTCCCTCTCTAGGGATTAAAGTGCCAACTCTGTCCTGACACAATTTGCTTTTCCAACCCTCATTTCTTGTCTTGAATTCTAAAATCCAGCCAAACTTAAAATATCCCTCTGCTCCAAATTCTCTCAGTTCTTTGGCCATTTAAAGAGCAGGGCCTGTCACACCCTACCTCACCTTGAAAATAGCGTTTGTTCTCAGGCAGTTGAAGTTGAATCGCTTACCTTAACCAATACAGTTTGCTATGGCAATAAACTCAGGCATAGGACCTTTTAAGTCAAACATAAGGGTGTTTCCACTATGCTATATTGGCCCAATAAATCCAAAAGAAAGTAATGGTATTTAAGAACCAGGCAAGAGAAATGCATGGGCACTCCAGAGGCAATGTTATTACCTCAGTTTGGGTATCCGAAAAGGATTCCTTTTTAGCCCACTCCTTCTACCTTGTACCCTCTGGTCCCCTTTGTGTAAACCTTCAAGTGTTACATGAGATACTTGGGGTGTCAGCAAAGGATGTTCCCTTTAGGCTCTATAAAAATCACCGTCAACAATGTGGGAAGAGCCCAAGCTCTGCTGAGTGCTCAGCTATCAGCAGAGGCGTGTGGGATCCCAGCTGTGACAATGACAGCCACCCTCATCCCAGCAAGAGCAGGACGGCGTGTCTCCCTGGGCAGCAACTTCTCTTTCCTGCCTTACTTAGTACACTTACCTTACTACCACACGGTGAAAACTAATTAACTATAAATTAAACTAAAACTCAATGTAGCAACTTCCAAACATTTTGTTATAAGACTAGGAAACAAAACTTGTTTCCAGGGCTTTTTTTTTTTTTTTTTTTTTTTTTTTAAAGAAAACTTAAATGTTACACAATCAAATAATTTTGGGTTAAGTAATCTTAAGAATTGAAAGAGCTTCAGAGAAATCAGAAATTGAAGTACCAAAAAAAAAAACAAAACAAAAAAACAGTTTTTAACTCATCCAGGGCCAGAGCATCAGAGCACACTCGGAGCCGGCCCACTGTCACCAGCCACGCGTCCAGGACAGGAAGGACCGGGACGTGACAGCCCCACACTCGCCCCACACACGCAAGGACGACCGCGGGGCAGGCCTCTCGCCGCCTGGCCCGGCGGCTCCTCCAACACCCGTTCCCGGGATCCCTGGTCTCGGCCTCCCCGCGGGACCGCAGCGGTCCCCGGCGACAGTAGGTCCGAGGCCCGGAGCACGCACAGAAGCGGACCAGCGCGGCGGCAGGGCGCTGCTTCCCCGACCCCGCGGCGCCCCCGGCTTGAGGTACCTGCTCAGAGCCGGACGGTCCTCGGCGCGTCGCGAAGCCCACGCGGGGGCGGACGGGCGGAGGCCGGGCTCAGCTCCGGGGCGGGGGGCGTCGGCCCCGGTCCTCCGCCG